CTCTTCCCAATCTCTCTTCTCTTCTCATACCTCTTCCTTTCCACTTGATATCTGTCCGCAGAATGGCATACCCAGGACACAAAAGCATAGCTCAGGCGTTACGGAGTACCCCCCATCTTTTTATCCCTTCTCCATCTCTTTCTCTCGGACTGTTCGGAAGCCAGCCGCGCAGGCAATGAGCTATCAGCTCCATATACGCAAAACTGCAAAACATACGTAGCTAGTTCCTTCTCCGTTGCTCACGGCGCAATCCAACTATATACCCTCCTCTCTAGCCTTCCCACCATCCCAACTGAGCCCTCAATGCATCCGCCTCGAGTAGCTCCCGCACCCAACGACCGATTTGCTGAATGTGATTCGTCATATCTAAAGGACCCTGACCCCATAGCTTTGAAATGTCATCTTCAGCCGCACGAAAATGGCTCAGATCCAGAAGCGGAGGTCCGCCGTTGCGCGTCTGCCTAATTTCGCGTGTCGTGGTACTATGCGGACTAGTGCGGTTGCCGGATGGGGGAAGGACTAGCCGTGGATGTTGGTACCTTTGAACGCACCTGGGCAAGAATTACGCACTGTATTTATGAGATAATGTGCTTCAAGAAGATCCGACATTGTACTTTGGAATGTGAGCAAGGCTGGTAGAGTTGAGCGAGTACAACTTGTAGTGGCCAAGATGTTACATGTAAATTCTACATCTACCAGACGACTATCCTACGCCCTAGTAATCCCATAAACAACACCCTTGTTGCTGGTCTTTTGTTATCTTTCTTAATTTAACTAGGCCTGGCGAAACTCTTATTTACATCTTCGCTTTACGACTCCATGCTCTAGTTTTTGTGTACCTTCCTAAGCCTTCCGGTTCGCGCTGGATATAGGATGAGTGCACTCTGCGGAGAGCGAGGAAGGTAGAGCAGACATGTAGCTATCATGTTGCTGTTATATAGCGGTGTGGCGTAATTTGTAAGTTGGGTTCAGATAACGCTGTTCTAGGGATGAAGTTTCGCGATGGCTATCTCGGTATTGAGGTCTAAAGCGAGAACAAGGCTGTAGGAAGGGGCGTGTGTAGATGATTATGGATATGGAAGAGATTGGAGAACGATAGATAAGACTTTGCTCCCGAGGGCTTTATTTTGCAATTTGTGTTGACTTATTGTCTTCGCCTTACTAGCCTTCCCATCTAACACTCCCTTCTAACGCTTTTCAACCCGTTCTTCTTCTTGTTTGATCGAATACTGCTTCTTCGTAAACAACACCCTTGCTTTGCTTCTACTTGTTTATCTATCCCATCTCTAGTCGCTACTATTCTGCCCTCCCGCACCTAGCCTCCCTGTTCTCGAAGAAAGACACAACCGCCGCGGAATGGCTCTGTATAGATTCGGAGGTATGATCGACCTTTGTGTGGACATCGAAGCTTGTTTGACCGTTTTGATGTGATTCGTTGTTGATGCCTGGGTGGCTTGCAGCTGTCAGCCTTGCTTGCTTCTTCCCTTTGCAAACACCAGATGAATGAATGACGATGATCGAGAATGCTGACGACGAGATTGAGGTACAGCAAAATAGCAGTGGCGATTGCAGGTCAATCTGGGGCCTCTCGTACTTAATGCGCGGAGACGGAAGTTAATGCTTAAGTGAGTCGGCGCAATGTTAGGGCGCGGTTGCAAGCAGTGGCGCTTCGCTAGCAGCAACGGCCGTAGTTACGGCCCCCGATGACGTTGAAGCCACATCCATCGCATTGCGACCCAGAACGCTGCCAACATCATGCCGATCATCCTTCGCACATCTCACATAAGGCCAATCATTACAGATATAGAGGCGCAAGAGATGGAGTATATAGATAGCAGGCTGCCATGGATATCGTTCGGCATCTCAAGCCTGCCAACAACTCTGCAACCACCTCCCATCAAGTCGAACAAACCTTGGAACTTACTACCCTGCAAGACACCTGAACAGATCGTCTCGACACAATGTCCAACCTCAAGTTCAACCCCGCGTCCGATATTCCAGACCAGTCTGGCCGAGTATTCTTGATCACCGGTGGTATGTGGCGTCCTTTACGTCCTCTGGCAGCCCATTCACTAACCTTCACAGGCACCACCGGTCTTGGAGCATCATCGATCTCTTTCCTCGCATCTCACAACCCTGCCCACATCTACTTCAGCGGTCGCAACAAAGCTCGCGCCAATGAACTCATCTCCAAAATCGCAAAAGCCTCACCCTCCACCAAAGTGACCTTCATCGAGTGCGACCTCGCAAGTCTCGCATCCGTCCAATCTGCCGCCAAACAATTCTTATCGTCAGCCGATCGCCTCGACGTCCTCATGTGCAACGCAGGTATCATGGCCGTACCTAACGACGTAAGCAAAGATGGCTACGAAATCCAATTCGCAACAAACCACCTCGGCCACGCGCTACTCATGAAGCTGCTCTTACCTGTCATGCTCGACACCGCATCGCAACCAAACGCCGACGTCCGCATCGTCAACCTCTCATCCGTAGCTTACAAACAAAACGTACCTTCGACCGGCATCGAGTTCTCAAAGCTCAAGACCAAAGGCGCAAACTACGGCTCCTTCTTCAGCTTCAACAAATGGGCCTGCTACGGCCAGTCGAAGCTAGCCAATTTGCTTTACGCTACTGAGTTGGCTGCTCATCACCCGAGTATCACGTCTGTGGCGGTGCATCCTGGCTTTATCAAGACGGACCTTTTCGCGAGCACGAACTTTATGGATCGTCAGGTTGTGAATATTATCTCCGGCGGGAATTGGCTTGATACGGAACAGGGGGCGTATAACCAGACTTGGGCGGCTACTACCAACAAGGAGAACTTGGTCAATGGAGCTTATTATGAGCCGGTGGGTGTGAAGACGACGCCGAGTACGAAGCTGGGGCGGGATCGGGCGTTGGCGAAGGAGTTGTGGGAGTGGACTGAGAAGGAGTTGAAGGCGTGGGTGTGAGACCTGGAGATCTCGGTCAGCGTTTTGATTTGCGAGTTTTGAATAGATCGTATCCGTAGATATGCTTGTTGTACTTTTGAAATTTCTCGTACTTGGACTTTCTTCATTGGTAGCACAGCCCATAAATGCGCAGCAGGCGGCCTTAACGTTCAGAAGGTCCCCGCTTGTTGTCAGTAGGCGCACAATACCTCGGTTGGGCACCTGACAGCAGTGTACGGATACTTTTCCGTGAGTAACGTTATAAGTAGTGGTGTACTCGCCGTCGTGGTGGTCGTTATCGCGGCAAGCAACACTTGGACGTCCACCTTTGGTCGCTGCTTCCAGACGACCTCGTGGTAGCAGTGATCGACAACGCACCAGAAGGTTTCCAAAGTGCTGGTAAACCGTTCCGCTCCACAACCCCATGGGGTAGTGGACGTTTTCGCGATCCGTTGGCCACCTCCCTTCGCTATCGCACCCGCCCACCAGGTGAACACGGCCGTGAAGCACGAGGACGACCCGACAAATTCTCTTGAGCACATGGCCTAAACGATCTCCACTGTGATCCTTCCATGGCACAGGCTCGGATGAGGCACCGCTGCATACCAGCCGCACCGCTTAGACGGCAACTAGCCATTTACCAAGAACCATCAATGCGGCGTCTCATTGTTTAGCATCACCAAGTACCGATAGACGAACCCGGTTTGCCCCGTGGAGAAACCAAGCAAAGTTGTGGGATATTCCTTTGTTGGATGATGGCCAAGACGATGAAGGCCCGGCGGACTGACTTGGCTCCGCGTTGATTGGCCGAATCCACAGCGGAAAGACTTTTAGCTCCTTCTCCTCAGCAGCGGCCTCGAGACGAAACCTCAGGCTAAACCGCAAACCAATCCCACCGCGGACTTGTGTCATCCGTAAATCTGGTGGGACCCATAAACCACGCACCGAAAGACCGCGTCTAACACCCCATCCGTGCGACAAGCGTGCACGCCATCTAGTTTCCCCGCAATGCAGCGCATGCTCAAGATCTTGGACCTGTCTCGGCCCCCTTGGCCTAGGCCCATGTGCGACGTTGGCCTCGACTGACAAGCTATGAAAACACTTGACCTCGCGCGACATGGCGCAACACCAAGATTTCGGTGGCTTGCCAATGTGCCTTTTCTCTGCGACAAGACCACGAAGACTCCAGGGTCGGGGCTGGGCTCCTCACCGGAACCAGTCACGAGTAGTGAGCTCGGAGTATCAATGCGACGTTCATGTCAGGAAAGAGCCTTGGTATTTTGCGGGTTACCTTCCCGGGACGAGTGACCGTATTTCGTATCCTCATTGCGACGTCAGCCAGGATGGACTGGGGAGGAGGAAGAGCAAGGGATGGCATGATGGGAGCTGTCAACTCTATGCCAGAGTGCTACGTCCCTCGTTGAAGGTCGTACCAACACTACGTGAGCGCTTACTCCCCGCTGAACAGCAAAGTTCACGATGCAGGCACAACTAGACCGAACACGAGACCACCGACCACCGGCTCCGACGTACCTGTCCTTGCCAAAAAACCACCGGAGGCGGCAAAGCCAACCTGGCACTAAGCACGCCCAGCACCTAGGGTATGCCCTCCGAGCTTGTGTGCCGCACGTTTGCATGTTCGCGATTCGGCAGAACGCACAATGATAGTCAGGCTCCAAGACCAAGCAAGCGGGCAGACTTGCCTTCGGGGACCCCGCGACCCCATTCCCCCAGCGCCATTCAGCCTCAAGTGTGTCCAAGGCGGCCGAGGGAAGCGCGCTTACCGTGTCTTGGAACGCATGCATGCGCGGAAGTACCTAGACAATTGTCGTGTGATTTCGGAACATCGCTTGTAGAGAAGGATCTGGGGCGAAGTATGGGATCCACCGCACTTGTGCGACGCTGAGGGCGGGGATGGAGGTGTATAAGAGTGCTACTCCACGTCCCCCGGATTGTTGATTTCCCCAGATCAACCAGCTCAGGCTTCGGTGATCCAACGGGCGTCTTACCCACACCCTCTACACCTCATACTCTTATCTTTTCAGAGAGGTTCTTTGAACACCACCCATCATGTCTGAGAAGAAGAACGATGTCGTCATGCTCGAGCAGACGATGACTCGGGATGAAGAGCTCATGAAGCCTGTGCCCATTGTCGGCAAGGTGGATTACTCTGGTGCTTACGAGAAGACTGATCCCCGAGAGATTGCGCTTGTCAAGAAGCTCGACCGATGGATTATGCCCATGTTGTGGAGCATGTACTGGCTCAATTACCTTGGTATGTCACTCCTCTCTCACAGTGATCTTTTTGGAAGCACTTACTTACACATCGCTCTGTCTAGACCGCAATGCCATTGCACTGGCCCGCCTCGACGACCTCGAAGAGGATCTCAACCTCACCAGCGAACAGTACCAAACCTGCGTGTCCATTCTCTTCGTCGGCTACCTCCTCGGCCAAATCCCCAGCAACATGTTCCTCAACCGAACCCGCCCATCGCGCTACATGGGCTGCTGCATGATGCTCTGGGCCGTCGTCTCCGCCCTAACAGCCCTCTCCAAAGATTTCACCGGCCTCCTCCTAACCCGCTTCTTCCTCGGTGTAACAGAAGCCCCCTACTACCCCGGTGCTGTCTACCTGCTCTCCATGTTCTACACCCGCAAGGAAGTCGCCACCCGCATTGCCATCCTCTACACCGGAAACATCCTCGCGACCGCCTTCGCCGGCCTCATCGCCGCTGGCATCTTCCACGGCCTCGGCGACGTCGCTGGCATCACGGGATGGCGTTGGCTGTTCATTCTCCAGGGTGCTGTCACATTTGTCATCGCCGTTGTTGGGTTTTTCTTGCTCCCTGACTTCACTCACAACACATGGTGGCTCACACAAGAAGAGCGCGACCTAGCCACCAACCGCATGGCCCTCGACACCGTCGGCAACAAAGGCGAGACATCCGTCTGGGCTGGTTTCCGCCAAGCGGGCAAGGACCCCATGGTCTGGATCTTCGCTTTCATGGCTCACATGCATCTTGCCGCCAACGGGTTAGTAAATATCCATGTAACGAACTGTATGTGGAGACAAAATACTGACTTGATACACTCATCTTTAGGTTCAAGAACTTCTTCCCTACCGTTGTCCAGACGCTTGGGTTTAGCAAGACTATCACCTTGGTTTTGACCTGCCCGCCTTACCTCATTGCTGGTGTCGTCACGATTGCTGTCTCGTGGTCTTCTGGAAAGTTCAACGAGCGCACTTGGCATATTACTATTTCCAAAGCCGTTGCTACCTTTGGCTTTGGACTGGCTTGTGCTGAGATTGGTACTGCGGGTCGTTACGTCGCTATGATCATCTTCACCATTGGCACTTATGGTGTTAATTCGCTCATCCTGGGTTGGTGTGGATCGACATGCGGTCAGACGCCTGAGAAGAAGGCTGTTGCTATCGGTATCGTGACGACGGTTATGAACGCTTCGTTTATCTGGTAAGTTTCCCTTCACCCTCAATCCTTCGACATTACGGGGAATCAGTTGCTAACATGGATACCAGGACACCATACCTATGGCCCAAGTCCGACGAGCCTCGCTACATCATCGCGCTCAGCTCCTCTGCTGCGTTCTCCGTTATGACTGCGCTGTTGGCGTGGGTGGCGAAGATTCTCTTTACCCGCAAGAACAAGAAGCTCAGGGAGCAGGATAGCGAGAACATGACCTTCTACGTGTACTAGATGTTTGTACGAGGCTGCGATACGCACAGTGCGCGATGGCTGGGCAGTGGAATCGGCTGGCAAGAGCTGGCGCAGATTAAATGGAAGATGGTACATTACGAGCCGAGAGCTCGATGAAGTTGCATATACGAATGATGAATTTTTCGATCTTGAAGACTAGCTCTCTGCATCGACATGCTTGCGCATTGTGATTCCCATTCTGCGAAGACTAACACATGATCTGGCGATGCAGCCTACAACCCTCCTCCCCAGCTTCCAAGATACGAATCCGTCACTACCACACGCTAACCCCACATCCATACTATAGAAGGATCGAATTCCCAATAGTACTTGAACCCTTTCTTCTTCTCCAACATCGCCTTCCCACGAGCGATCAACGCCGTCTCATCGCGCTGGGAAATACCAGCCTGAATGGCTAGTTTCCTGCAAGCCAGACGCACCACTTCGTTATAGTCGTATAAGCGCATTCGCGCGCGACTGGGGTCTGTTGGATTAGGTCTCGACTCGAATGCAAGACATTCAAGGTCGTTCTTGTTCAAGCAGAAGTACTTCTCGGATTTGGATACATTGATACACGTTGTCTGGGATGCGTTCAGCGTTTCGGGATTTCGCCGTTTGTTACGATAGATCCAGTTCTTCCAATTCCGCTTCCTCTGCGTAGGCGTATCCCTTGGCTCCAGGTATGCTGCTCTTAACGCCGCTTCATGGTGAGCTTGTTCTCTAGCTCTTTTCGCGGCGGCCTCGCGTTCTGCGGGGGTCGGAGTGGGCGTTTTGGGTTCTGTTTTGACTGGTATACTGGCGGTTTCGACATCCTTCTTCGATGACACGGGGGTTGTGGGCGGCTTGGGTGCTATCTTGACAGGTACAACGGCAGCACTGACTTTCTTGCGCGATGGAACGGGGCTGGTCGGCTCATCGTCGCTATCGTCCGGTGTGGTCGGTCGTTTGCGTTTCGATGCCTTCGCTACTGAAGGTGAAGCTTCTACCTCGCTTTTCAAGGACAAAGGCTCGGATTTGATATTGATGGCCGAGGAAGGTGGGGTGAGCAGCTGGGGTGCCAGGGTAGGCGAGTCCGGTTCCTCCTTGACGAGGGGTTGTGACGTTGCGTTCACCATTTTAGAATCGCGGCGTTGGAGTGGCATATTGAGTGGATGGGAAAGAGCGTTACTTAAGGAAGTAGGGGTAAGACACTCGCACGACGTCTTTGGCAGAAATATAAGACATATAAGACAATGCGACAGAGGTACTTTGGGAATAAAGACGTTGGAACAACTGTGCCTCTTAATGAAACGGCCTTCCGAACAAGGTCTAGATTTGCTGCACAATGAGGGGTAAAGTACCAAACGGTTATCTTGGATGCCATGTCAAAACGCATTGAGATATTGGTAGACTACCACAATCAGAATAGTTGAGATCCTTTGGCATCATGGTGCACTAGTACGACACGAGTCTGGTAGCCTTGCCGTCAACGCTCCGGTAAGACACTTATTCACCAAAACAGGATTGCTGCACAAAATCTAGGAACCAAAACGGAGATTCTAGATGTATGATAATCTAGTAACCACTCCAGTTATGCTGAAAATTCGGATCATCCCCATACTTCTCGCACATTAACCTATCCTCCTCATCCTCGCGCATCCGCCTGAGTTCGTCTTGTCGCATCGATTCTTTGTAGCGTGCAATCTCCGCCCCGGACCTTCCCCCTTTGGCGTACAAGAGGTTGTCGTAATTACTAGAGAGTGTTAGCATCATCGCAGTCGCTGTGTGCATTGGTCACTTACCCTCTGGCGTGTTTATCCGCAAACAGCTTCTTCCCTTTGGCAAGGAACTCTTGTTCGTTATCCTGTGGGATACCAGCGAGCATGGCTTCTTTCCGGAAGGCTAGTTTCCCACAATCGTCCCATCGGTAGTCCTTCTGAGGCATCTGGTTGAATGCGTTCACAGAGGGGCGATGTGGGATGCACTTGAGCTCATCTGGCTTCAGGTCGAAGAATGCCTTCGCGTTCTTGACGTTTACATTATTTCCTAGCTCCCCAGAAGTAAGTGTCTCATCGGTCTGGTTCTTGGATACCCAATCTTTCCAGTCCTTCTTCCATTGCGCGACCAGCTTCTTCTTCTCTTTCTCGGCTTTCTTCGCTTCGGCAGCTTCTTTTCTCTTCGCAGCGTTTGCGGCTTTGACTGCAGCTTCTTCGGCTTTCTTCTTGGCGGACTCAAGCTTCTTTGCAAGCGCTTCTTCGGACTGTGCTGCTTTCTTGGGTGTTCTCGGTTCACGGGAGGTTTGACCTTTCCTCGCTACCTTTGCGGGCGTCTTCGTTTCGGCATCTTCGTCGTCCTGTGCCGGTCGCTTGAGGTTGGGCGTTTGCGCTTGTTCAGCTGGCTTCAGCGGCTTGACCGACGTCTCTTCGATACCCGTTACTTTGGGCCCGTGCTCATCGGAGTCTGGAGGGGGAGTTTGGAGTTGCTGGCGGCTCTCTGTTGATGATGCCATCGCTGCATCGGAGTTCATGATGTCATTCAAGAGGGTTGAGTGCGAAGCTTGGAATAAACAGAAGGGTCGATGGCGTCAGATTGCTCAGGACACGGCTGACATTGGGAATTTGGGAACCAAAGATTACAGGAACCAGATGTGACACTCCAGAGCATATATACCACGCACTGCGTTCCGATCAAGAGACTCTGCAGCTGTGTCAACCTTATCGCATGGGGCTACAGGTGGGGTGGTGCCCGTGCCGGAGCCGTTTCCGTGGCTACGTCACCCCCACCTCATTACCCCTGATGTCCCCACCATGTACCCTTCTCGTCACCAACCCTGGAACCGCTGGCACCTATCTCGCTGATCTGAAACACGACATATGTGATTGTACTCGCATCTAAGATTTGAGCACCTCCAAAGCCTTCAGCGGATTAAGATATTGCCAGCACTACCTAGGTATGCTAGCTAGTGCAAAGATGTTGTCACACGGCTTTATCTGGGTATATCCCTTTTCCCGCCGATCTTGCACCGACGTCAGCGCAGCAAAATATGCTTGATCCCGTTATGAGTTCCAGTATGGAGATTCTGTTGCGACGAAAAGAGCAGATGCGATTGAACAACTCACTTCCGCCCATAGTTTCAGCAGCAAAGCGATGAATTTCAGGTATCAGCGTCAAATCGATGAAAGCCTTGCGACAAATAGCAACAGCTAGGTGCCTACTACTACACACCGACGCAGGTTCAAAACCGGTATCCAAGCAACGAAAGAGAAAAGAATGATAAACCACGGGTATCGCATCGCTCCCCCATCGATCAACTCAACTCCTTCAAACTCGCCTCCACATTCTCCCAAGCCTTCGGCGACATAATCAAGCTCAGCCAATAACCCCCCGCATGATCCTTCCCCAAAATATGCACCAACAGCCTATTCGCCGGATTCGGTATCCTACTCGAGCAATGATGAAACGCAGGCATACCAGGCGGATTACTCCTTCCCTCACTCTCATCACCAGCCCTCACAACCGCAGGCCCAAAGTCGACAGTAGAAAAGAACTTGGCTTTCGACCAGTCGGTAAAAGGCACCAACATCGCATCCGCGTCACTGTAGAGAAGCGTCGATGGATCGCCGGAGATACGCTGCTCGCGAAGACTGGCAAGGACTTGGCCTTCGGTTGCTTGTTCGAGGAGGCGCTGGCGGTTGTGTAGAGCGATGGGACCGAGTGGGCCGGTTGCCATGTCTGGAGAGAGGAAGGTGAAGCCGGGGACGAGCATGTTTTGCATGTACATGCCCTTCGCGTTGATGAGTTCAGGAAGACGGAAACGAGCGTTCATTGCGTGGAGGGCGGTCAAGGGACGGGGTGATGGCAGAGAAGATGCGATACAGCGGAGTGTCCATGCAGTGAGCACATCGCCATCGCTGATGAACGGTGGTTTCTCGACTATACCGTCATCGTTCTCCTGCACAGGTAGGTCTTGCTCAGTTGCTACGCGCAATTTCGCCACGACGTCCTTTGGCAGGTAAATCGTCTGCGACTTTGGAGCAGGACCAGTAAGCATATCCCATGCGAACCTCGCTCCAAATTTGACCATACTCAGCCCTTTGAGCTGTTTGGCCTTGAGTATGTACTCCTCTGCCGGCTGAGTCGTGTTGTCAGTCAGTGCACGTAGCATGTCTTCCCGCGCCCCTAGTACAGGCGGCACTTCGGTCTCTTTTCCGGCTAATACCATCGACCACGCGCAGAGGAGGTTTTGGTTGCCAATTACATCCATCAAAGTATGGGGCCAGGAGAGTCCCACGAGTGTTGCGTTGGTAAAAGACGTGATGTGGACCGAAATTTGTGGCGTGTCTCCAGCGATCAAGTCCTCAAACGTCATGGGCGCGTCGGCGCTAGCGGCCAGGTCATTGAACTCCGTGGGTCCTGGACAGATCAAGACGGCTCTGTTGGCTTTGGGAAGCTTCTTGGCTAGGTCGTGCTCTTCGATGGGAGTGTTGATGGTGACATGGCTGTACGAGAAGGCGGGTCGCTCAGATGTGAACTGGCGTGGGACATGAATCTCCAATGCACCCTTGTTCTATCATCCAACATGTTAGCCGTACTGCTTCCACGCGAAATCAATCCGAAAGATGCCACTTACGTTGAGTCTCAAGCGTCCTCCAAGCTTCCTCCAGTCCCCATTTTCCAAGAGCTTTGCTAGAGAGGACCGGAGCCTATCCGCATCGAGAACATCGTTGAAGCAGAGTGTCCATGTAATTATGATGCTACGGAAAGTCTTCGTGTCGTCTAGTGTGTGTACTGGAAGGACGTCGTCGTCGGCATATGGGGTTGGTGTAGCATCTACTGCTGGGGAAGATTGCTTTTTGAATCGCTTGAGGAAATCCATTGCTGAGACGCTAAACTTGCGAACTGTGAAAGGTGCTCAACAATGAGTGTTATTTGTCAAATCTATTTACTTCTGCTCTGCTTTTAACACCGTATGAGAATCCCTGGCCAAAGTCGCGTTCGGAACACGGATTCGTGGGTAGCCG